AGTACGCTGTTGCTGCTCTTACCGCCGCTGCACTTTGCAGTGGCGGTGCGTGGCAACAGAGTGCAGCGGCGGTGCGGGGTTGCTGTTGCAGCGGCAAGGTGCTGCTGCAACAGCAGTAGCGCGAAGTATAGCGGCAAGGTGCTGCTGCAAAACGCAAGAAATGCCGCTCTCGCAGCGACGAAGCCCCGAAGGTCGAGTGCGCGAGATGCAACGGTTCAGGCGGTGTCCCTCACTGTGAATGAAGTCGCAGGCGCCTCCAAACGAAAGGGGAAGAGGCGGCAGTTTAGGGTTTCCAAAAACTGGGTAAATATTTTGGGGACGGGACCTTTTATGTAATTTCAATAATTTTGAGCCCTTGCCTGAAATTTTCTTTTAGGGGGCCAGATTGTAATATTTAGAATAAGGGCCTGTTTGATATTTCAGAAATTGTGGAGGGGCTTTATGTAATTTTAAAACATTGGGTCAAAGTGGAGATTTCAAAAATGAGTTTTTGATTGCAATTTCGAAGATGATTTTGAATTTGATTTAAAAGGGTTCTAAATTGCATTTTAAATGGTTTTGACCTATATCTTTAATTTTGACCCAAATTAAAATCTTATTTAAAAATTGACGACTTTTTATATTTTCGTTAAAATTGGATTTTAACTTAAATATTAAACTTTGACCCCAATTGAATTTTTATTTTATTTAGAAGTGTTATCCTAATTTAAAATATTGATTCAATTTAAATTAGAGTTGGACTCTAATTTAGAACTTAATTAAAATGTTCTTTTAATTAATTTTTCACTCGAAGATATTTTAGAAATTAGAATTGGATTCTAATTTGATGTTTAATTAAAACTTGATTTTAATTAAATTGTTTCGCCCTAAAATTTTCTTTAGATTAGAGTTAGACTCTAATTTGGTGTTTGATTAAAATTTGATTTTAATTAAATGGGATGGCCCTAAAAAAATCTTAGATTTAGAGTTGGACTCTAATTCTACTATTTAATTAAAATTTGATTTTAATTAAATTCAACCGCCTTAAGTAATGAAATTAGAGTTTGACCATAATTTGATATTTAATTAAAATTTTATTTTAATTAAATTATCCCGCCATATAATTGTTGAATTAGAGTTTGACTCTAATTTGTTATTTAATTAAAATTTAATTTTAATTAAATATTCCGGCTAATTAAATAATCGATTAATATGATTAATTAATTATTTAATTGTTCTGATCTATTTGTCTAAAAGAGTTTAGACGATTTAATTGCTAGAAACTTGAAATTAATTTGCATATAATATTAGATATTATATAGGTATACATTTATGTGATGAATGTATTATTAGTGGACAATTATGGACTCGATCATACGGATGTATTGAATGATTATTTTTTTTCTTGTCGTTTTATGGGCATGCGAACTTGTTATTATTTTGGGCCTGCGAGCTCTTGATCATTTTGGACATGCGAGTCCCTTATTATTATTGTGCTATAGGCCTGCGAGTCCAATTTCATTTAGGCTTTCATACCAACTAATATAGGATACAAGTTGCAACTAGACTAATTGAAGAAACAAGAAAAGGAGGAGACCATGGAGATGGTGCATTGATACTAATTGATGTAATACCCCCTAGGAATTGACCAACTAGTCTTCCTTATGACTCGAGAAAACTAGATAGTAAAGCCCGTCCACACTATTATATAATGTTATATATATATTCATTTGCATGGTAGACGTATAATAATATATATATATATATATATATATGATTGTATCGTTGTTGATAAGACTTTTGAATGCAAAATCCCTCCACAAAATATTAAGTCACATTTATAATTGCCTTCCATCATTATAGTGAAAAACCAAAGTCCCAAATCGTCTCAACTTGTTGAATACACTCAAGGCTGGTCTATTAGGGATATTTTTGATACTATGAAATATTAGATATTTCTGAATAATGGATTTATTTTTTGTTGAGTACACTCAAGGAGATAAATTTTAGAGGTATGTTAAGCTAACACATAAAATGTGTGAAAACAAAGAGTTGTCAGTTTAATGATCTGGGAGTTGTATGGAGATACAATTGATAATAGTACCTACTCAAATGTTATATTAAGACTTGTTGAGTACACTCAAGGTCTTAATATAATAGATGAGATCCCAGCCCACTGGAAGTTAGGTATGGACTCCATAAATTTATGTAAGAAGGTCATAAATTTATATTAAACAGTGGAGCATAATTAATTTAATAAAAGTCTATGTTAAATTAATTGATACATTTTATATATTATTCGTTTCCTTTTCGTCATTTATATTTATTGAATCGTGAGTAACCATGAGTATTTGAATGGCATACTAGATGCTAACAACTAAACTATATTTTCTTAATTGACATCGCAATTTGAGAATTGTTCTCATGCATGAGAAAATTGGTCACGTCCTTAAGTAGTCCTTTCCAGAGACACCTGCTGATGACTCGATTAAAGAAGAGGTGGCTACTGTAGTAAACGCAGTGATGATAATAGTACTGCAACGTATGTGATACTTGCAACTATGTCACTGAGTTACAAAAGCGACTTGAGAGTATAGATGTTAATACATAATTCTTCATTACAAAGAGTTATATGATAATAATCATGTGTGGAAGGATATGAGACTTCCAAACAACTATACCGGTACAAAATGGCAGAGTAATCTTCAATCGATGCTTAGACACTGAATATGATTGACGTTGAGAAATGTCTCAACTGTGTTCAATCATAAACTATGAACTAAGTAGCGACTTGGTTCTGCAATCTCTGTCAGCTAAAGCTATTCACAACTAATTATGAATTTAACGTGAATAAGCTCGAATGCAAAATTATTGAATTGCTTAACATGTTTAGAACTGTTAAGCCCTTTATCAAAGTTGGTAGTGGGCAAATCATTGATTCCTCTAAAGATATTAAGAGGAAGTTTAAAGGGGCTTTGTGAAAGCACCCAATATGGTTAAGACAGTCTAAGCGAAGGACAATACCAAATCTAATGACCCTTTGTTTTATTATAGAATGAAAGGTCATGGAAGGAATATTGCGTGGCTTATGTCTACTTCACTAGTTTCTTAGGTATTTGATACCAGATGTAAATCTCATATTTATACAAATATGGAGAAACTAAAAAGAAGTAGACCACTGCGAAAGGGAGAAGTTGGCATACACGTTGGAGATGAGCAAAGGTTGCTGCATTGCCTGTATGAATATACTTCTTGCCATTGCCTTTTGGTTTAGTATTGGAATTAAAGAAACGTCGCTTTATACCAACCATAGTTGGAACATTAAAATAAATTTCATGTTCCTACATGAACTATTTTAATGTTAAGGACAAAAGTTGTTCTTGTTTATCTTGGTAAAGTCCTAATGGCTATGGTATTATATTCTTTAATACTAAGGATTCTATAATGAGTATAGAAATTAAAAGGCATAAATGCGATAATCGAATTATTACCAAAATCTGGCATGACAGACTTTGTCATTTAGATGAAATGTAATTCCAAAGTTACATAAAGATGTATACTTGGGATTAATTGATTTTGGTAAGTACAAATTATGCATGTCAGGCACAATGACCAAATCTTCTTTTACTTGAAAGAAGAAAGATCAACATAATTACTGGTCTAATGCATGGTGATGCATATGGACTTGTGTCAATTAATGCCAGGTAATGTTTCTCTTATTTCATCAATGATCATGTATACTTGATGAAAACTCAAACATGAAACTCTTGAAAAGTTCAAGGGATTCACACAAGAATTAGAGAAACAAATAGGTAAAGATACCCTCACATTAAGATTCGATCAAGTGAGAGTATCCTAAAGATAAAATCTAGATTATCTAAGAGAGAATGAGATTCTCTTGCAGTGGACTCCTTCATATACACTGCAGCAAGGTGGTGTATCTAAAAGGAAGAATCGTTAATTATTAGATATAATGCGATTAATAACAAGCCATGCAAACCTCCCAAAATTATTTTGAGGTCACGCATTGATTGCAGTGTGCAACACACTAAACCACGTCCCATCTAAATTGGTTAACAGAACTCTATACGAGTTGTGGAAAGGCAATAGTCTCAATTTATCTTATATGAAAGCTTGGGGTCATAACGCTTATTTGAAGCACCTTAAATCGGATAAGTTTGAGACTAAATCCGATAAATATATATTTGTGGGATATTCAAAGGAGACATTTGAATATAAATTCTATTATCATAAAGAAAGTCTTCATTTTACGACATATCATCTTCTTAGAGAAAATGTTTACTCTATGAGAGGATAGTGGGAGTAAAATAGAATTTGAAAGAGTTCAAGAGTCCACAGATATAGTTAACCAAGTAGATAAATCTGAGTTTGATCCCATATTTGATATGGGACATACTTTGGATCAGGAAGTAAAGACTCATGAAGACATGACAGCTCTATGTGAATCTAGTAGGATAATTCGACCTTCAAGAAGGTGCGAATCCATGATCATTAATCAGGTATTAGTGATCCAGGATAATGAACCTGCTAGTTGCAACAAAATAAAGTCAAGTGTTGACTTAAAAGAGATAGCAAGAGGCCATGAAACTCGAGATGAACTCGACGTATGTGAACAAGGTTTGGACCTTGATCAAGCCTCTTGATGGAATAAAACCCATAAGTTTTTGTAAATAGTTTACAATGAAAAGGTTGATATGGATGGAAATATCCATATATACAAAGCAACGCTAGAAGCAAAGGTTAAGCGTTGACCTTGGTGAAACCTTTCTCTGTAGCCTTTCTGAAGTCCATTCAAATTTTGTTTGCAATAGTTGCATACAATGACTATAGGTTAAGAGAAGTCTCTTGGAGCTAAAATCTTCGATTTGATGGAAAAGTCAAAGTGTTTGATTTTATCAAAATTTGAAGACGAATTGCGTGTTTACAAGAAGATAGTGGGAGCATTGTCGAATTGCTAATATTATAGAAAACGACATTCCTATGTTTCAATCGTTGAAATAATGGTTGTTAAAGGATTTATTCTTGAACGATCTGGGATAAGCAACTTGATTTATAGAGGTAGATCTAGAAGATTATTTAACTCATCACAATTTACATAGATGAAATCTTGAGAAGATTTCATATGGAGAAACTGGTTTACTCTTAAGCGGTTTGTTGGAAAGGTTCCAAACGTGAAACAACGTTGATTCAATAATAGAAACCTAATACATGATTACTTCAGAAGTAGCAAAGAGTTGCAATCTGGATCATGATGTTCATAAATGAACTTGGAGTAGTTTCTGATATTATTGATCACATATCATTGTATTGTGATAACAATATAGCCACTGCGAAAGCAAACGAACTAAGGTCTCATCAATGATTCAAATATGTATTAAGGCGGTATAATCTCATCAGAGAGATAATACATAGAAATAACGTAAAGTAAAGAAAAGAACAAATTTTCATATTTAACAATATTGTAGATCCACTGACAAAGAGTTGTCGTAGCATAAACATGATTGTCATGTAGACTTGTGATATTGGATACATAAGTGATTGGATCTAGTGCAAGTGGGAGTTTGTAAGTATTATGCCCTAGGTCCAATCAACTTTGGATATAAATACTTTTGATATATAATTAATGCAATTTAATGGCAGATCTATTATTTAATTAATAGACAATTAAATAAATAATAGAGTCCATAGATTCAAATCTTCGTAATTTGTTAATTACAAGGAGTTTTGATTGTGAGATACAAATTACATCTTAGGTAGCAGGAGATTATGATCTGCGTTTCATTCAATTAAGTCGATGATGAAATCCTTGGCCAAAGTGTACTCATAAGTCGAAAAGAAGTTTTTGACTTATATTGACTTAATAGTGGACTGAAAGATATGATCGATAATCGAGATTGACACACTTCCATATCTCGTAATTGATCAGATCATATTGACGAAAGGATTATAGTTTCACGGTAAACAAACGAGTTTGGTTTTGTCATACCACGTGACATTTTCCGTCACATATATTGCCCTGACACATTGCTAGATGTCAATCTGGGACGGCGAGTTGAATCGACGATAAATTAAAAGGGTGCTTTAATATATCAATTTTGATTAGATCAAAATAATATTTCACGTCGTTAGGCATCGTAATCGGGAGCCTGATGGGTCACACACAAAAGAGAATTGGAAGATTGCAAATTATCAATTAATTAATTTAACAGTCGTTGGATAAATTAATTAATTGATTTGGTTATTTATAGGCCCGAATTAATTAATTAGATTAATTAATTCACGGACTGAATTTAATTAAATGGATTAATTAAATATTGGATCGGACCGGGCCCGTTTGGGTTTATATAAATACATAGCTAGGGTTTGAGGTCCATATGTTTTTCATTATTCTTACTGGCACAAGAAGAAAAACCCTAGTAGCTGCAATCTTATTCTCTGTGTGGATCACCGTTGGAGGCTGGACAATTGGACAGCTGTGGGAGGGGAATCGAGATTGCTGAAACGAAAAGAAAAGTAAAAGGTTTGCATAATTCATCGAAGGTACAATCTTTATCACGATTTCTATCTAAACACAAAGGGATCCTCGGTGGGAATCGAAATAATTTTAATTTTTCGCCGTGCATGTATAAGTAGATTCCCAACAGAATGTTTATAGAGTGTTTTGTTCATGGGAAGCTTACAATTTATGTTCACTGTCTATCTTTGGAGGTTTGTTTTACAGTAACCTCTCTTCAAACGTGTCAAGTGTTGAATCGGACCTTAATAATTATCATTTTTGGCATTTTTCTTTTTGTGGGTAAATTTCTTATGTTATCATATAGACATGATCAGTTTGTTTCATGAAATATCTTTTTTTTTGGAACTCGAGTAGCTATGTTTGCTTGACTTTTTGTTGCTCATTTTGTATATCATTTTGTATTTGCCTAAATATTTCTTCTCTAATTGTATGACACTAGTTCTAATGGAAGATTTAACGCAAGAAAATGACAAGGTTCAAGGAAAAGGTACTGAAAAATATGAGAAATGGACGTCGGAAGAAAGCAATGAGCTTTTAAAACTCATCGTTGATGCTGCCACACGTGGTTGGCGTGATAGTAATGGTCTGTTGAGCAAGATAACCGTAGAAAAACATATACTTTCTCATCTTAACCAAAAACTTGGGATTGAAAAGACTTATGCCCAGTATAAAAGTCGTGTGGAATGGTTTAAAAAACAGTCAAGTATTCTAAGCTTAGGCGTCATAACTATGGGTTTAGATGGGATCATGTGATGAAGAAATTCACTGTGAGTGATGAAGTATGGGACGATTACTTTATGGTGAGCTTCCTTTATTACTTGATTTAGAAACATATGAAATTTGAGTTATTGGTTAGTGAAGTGTATGATTCATATATTAGCACTCATACATATTTTTTTTCTTTAATAGTCACATCCTGAAGATAAAAGTTATTGCACAGACACTTTTCCAGACAATGAGGATTTGAGAATTTTAGTTGGAAGTGGGACGGCTATTGGAACAAACTCAATTGCATTAGGGGATGATACTGATGCAAGAACTTTTTATACTGAAGAAAGAAGAGTTAGTGACAGTTTAATAGACGACTTCATGTATGATCCTGATACTGAAACATTTATAGTAACCGATAAGCAAGATTTTATAAGTTCAGAGGTTTCCCCACCAATTCGAAAACGAAGTAGAACAGAATTTGAAGCGAAATCTAGTTCGTTTGAGCCCAAAAGCACTCAATTAGACATTATAGACAAACTTGCTAGTACAGTTGGCAAGATCACTCAAGCAATTGAATCAATTGACACCAGAGAGCCTAATTGTTGGAACATTATCAAAGAGATTCAAAACTTGGATGATGATGATCGTTTTAAGGTCCTTGATTTGCTTAATACAAATGTTGACACATAAAAAATTCAGCCCAAATCGAACACCCCAAGGAGTGAAGCCCAATTGGAGAATCCCCAAATCAGACAGCCCAAAGAACGAAGCCCAATCAAACAAATCAAGATGAAGGCCCAAATAAGGAGGCCCAAGAACGCGGTAACGCCATCGCCCAAGTTTGCAAGTCGCCTAGAATCTGAGCGAATGGAGTGTCATACAGTCACCCAAAGCTGTTACTCTATTCTTGCCCAAACCTTCAAGTCGCCCAAGGTATTAACAAAACATAACGCATCGTGGTTATCAAAAAGTGCAGTTATCAAAGCAGTTATTAAAGCAGCCCTATCACGTTCCACGATTCAAGGAATTCAATCGAAAGCGGTTGAACGATGAAGGGTAATGGCAGCAGTTAAAAGACAGTTTTCATGACAAGGTGGCCATTACGAAGAAAGTGGGTAGTTATAGGACGATCAAGCAGTTTTTAGAGTAGTTGATCACAAAGAGATCGTCTATGAAGTATAAAAGGGAGAAAAGACATAGAAGCAAAGGACCGAATCCAAAACTCTCGAACAGAGAATATGTAATTTTCATTTCCTTAGCTTTTAGACTTAAACACTTTTCTTTCAGTAACTCATGTGCTTGCGCCCCTTGGAGGCACGTTGATTTTCATTTCCAATTGTAAAGTCATCGCCAATAAAAGAACACCCCTTTTTGGGACTTTGTCTCAAGAGGTTTGTCCCTTACACAATCGTCTGATCCCTTTTAATTGTTAGCAACTAACCCGCGCGAAACAATTTGGCACGCCCAGTGGGACAATGGTGTTAGGTGTTGAAAGTACAAAAGGGAAAACAATATGCCTCAGAGATCCGATAAGGAAGCAGCAAGTCAGGGAGGAATCCAGTTTGTAATCGAGCGATATGAGGAGCAACATGCCTCTCCACGAACAGATGGACAAAATTAGAGCAGTAACAGTCGTTACGAACCAATGACGGAGTTGAGACCTCGAACCATGCGTGCATTACTTGGAGAACTCACGCAAGAGGTCATTAAATAGGTAAATCTTCGAAGTATTCATAATATGGAAAGATTTACACAAAATGGGAATGTACACTATCACAACATGGCCAAACAACTAAAGACGTTGAACGAAATGATGAATAAGTTAGTAGGCCAAATATGTCAACTGGCTATACCTCTTAAAAATCACTTTCAAACTAGGACGATCGTGGGACATAATCCCTCGGTCCTAAATCCGAGTCAAGGGGTAGAACCGCTTTCTGGTCCATCTACTTCAAACCAAGGAGGTACTACAGTGCCAAATCAAAGCAATGGTAGTGTTATGCCTAACCTGGGGGGTAATCCAAACGTGAGAGATAATGTCCTAAACAATGGACAGAATATTCCACGTGGTGACGAAGGAGTAGATGTTCAGGCTAATGGTAATGGCCCTAATCATGGTAATTTTGTTGCCAATCAAGGACCAAACATCAGGCCTCATGCGAATCAACTGGTTAACCAACCTATAGGAATTCCATATGACCCCAACGTCATGTTGAGGAACCAGATTATGGAAATCGTACAGGATCAGATGGCTTTTGGGGTACGTCCCATCATTAGGCCGACGTACACAAAGCCATATCCTGATTGGGTAGACCAAGCATATCCATGGCCTAGAGGATACAAAGTGCCAGAATTCTCACTGTTTACCGGTTTAGGAGAGGTGTTTACTCTAGAACACATAGGGCGATTCACATTGCAAAGTGGTGATGTAACCGATTACCATAAAATGAGACTTTTCCCAAGTTCGTTAACAGGAGTAGCTTTCTCCTGGTTCATCAACTTGCCAGCGAACTCTGTTCAAACATGGCAACAATTGGAACAGTTGTTTCACGCTCAGTTTTATAAAACTGAGTCTGAGGTCACTTTGGCCGATTTGACGAATTTACGTCAAATGCCAAATGAATGGGCAGAAAGTTTTCTCCAAAGGTTCAAGACAGCAAGAAGCAAGTGTTTTGTACCTCTGCCCGAGAAAGAATTTGTCAAGATCGCTCAAGGCTGCTTGAGCTTTAATTTAAAAAAGAAGTTCCAGGACAAGGAATTCCCTGACCTTTTCCAATTGAGTGCGAATGTAATTAGGTATGAGCGACTGATAAGAGAGGAGGAACAAATGAAAAATTCTAGTAAAGGGACTTATTACAAAGACCCAAATTTTGTCGTTCATACCATCGACGACGAGTCATACGATCAGGCCGAAATGTGTTTGGCCGAATTGGTCAAAGGGGATACATATAATTGTCCCATAATGGCCAAGCCTAGACCATCGGGCAGAAATGAGCCCATAAAGGATGGAAACATAAAGGCTAGAACGTTCTCGTTCGACGTGACCAAAGCTGACCTTATATTCGATAAATTATATAAGGATAAGCAGATAAAGTTGAGCGATAATCACAAATTGCCAAACCCTGAACAAATTAAGGGTAAAAAATATTGTAAGTGGCATAATGCATGGTCACATTTGACTAACAATTGCTTGATTTTCCGTCATGTATTGCAGGATGCCATTGAATCAGGACGAATTACGTTCGATGATAAGAAAAAGATGGCAGTGGACGAGAATCCTTTCTCATGGCCACTTGGAGTAAACATGGTAACATCTGGATTCAAGAACAAGTTACCAAAGTTCAAATTGGTTGTAGATGATGGAGAAGAAGATCCTAGACCACATCCCAGCGTAGAAGATCCTAGACCACATCCCAGCGTCTTTGAACGAATCAAGGGGAAAGAATCAAAAAAGGATGAAGACGTCTTGTGTGCAAGGTGTAAAAGAGAAGTGAATAGAAACACGGAGAAACCAGGGACATGGCAGCATCCTCATCGCCCTACCTTCTTCCCAAATATTCAGCCTGGTAGAGGGCGAGGTACATCATTCTATAGGGGATCGCCTTTTGAAAGGCAGTTCAGACCAGCAGATACTGGAAGAATATTTAGGCCGCAACCTCACCGGCCAAATGTATGGCATTCATTCCAGTACAGTGCAGGAAGGGTAATACCCTTCGATGAGATGACTAGGACCCAACAAAGGCGTTTCCAACGAAACTACGGACGGATGATAAGGCAGCAGCAAGGAATGCCACATCCTAAAGCGCCTATACTACTCAAGGTAGCCAATCAAAATGTCCTCAAAAATAACGAAGAGACTGGTACAGATGAATCAATGAAGGAACTGCCAGAAACTTCTTCTGGGAGATCAAAGTTTGAGCGGGACAGAAGGGAGGAAGAAGATCCAGATCAGCCCCTTGCTATCCAATTCGGTACGTTGCCTCCTGTAGTGGCCAATAATTACCTACTGGCCAATGAATTCAAGAATAACGAAAAAGAAGAAGAGGGGAAGACAACGAAGAAGAAGCTTGCGTGCTGGTATGTGAAGAAGGCCAGACTTCTAGGGAGGCCTACAACGACGAGGAGGACGATGGGATGACAGACATTGAAGAAGAAATCGACCTAGAAGCAGAAAGGAAAAAGAGAGGAGTATCGCGCAATACTCTGTTTAAGAAACTACATCAAGAAGGAGTTCACGAAGTAGACTTGTTAGGGAAACCATCTGGGCGTCCTTTTGATTTCTACGTACTGTACGGGACACCCAAAAGGAAGAAGAGAGT